CCACCATCAGCACTACGACCACGACCACGACGACGGAATCTCCTACCACTACTCAGACGGCCGTCGGGAGAGGAAAGTTCAGAAGACCGGGTATCGGGGGAATAGCCACAGGTTCCAGAAACAGGTGAGTTCCACTCGAGCTACGTAACAAATCCTTCCTCCCTCCTTCCATGGCATTCAACGTTCAAAATCAGACGAAATGACGATTATTTGATAAATAATGACTTTCTCTCCGTCAAAGGTTCAAATCTAACGGAAGCGGAAGCACAAGCACGGAAGTACCGGCGGAGCCGACGCAACGCAGCCGGAATCGGTTCGGAAGCGGCTCCAACGGCGGTGGTTTCAAGAGGAATCGCCCTGGACAGAAACAACCGGCGCTGGTGGAGGAGGACGCGGTGCAGAAAGAAAGTGCCAGCTCCGTCCACGCGGAACGTCCCTCCCTGCCGCCGGGTGCTGCTACACGTGGCAGATTTCGCGGCTCCTCCGGATCCACCAGGTCCGTCTCTTCGACGACAGCGACGCCGCCATCGTCGTCGTCGTCGTCGAACGGCGGATCGCCTTCGTCTTCGAACAGCGGCGGGCTGTCCAGGCCGTCCTTCAACAAGCTGAACATCAATCGACGACGCGGCAGGCCGACGACGAGCGCTCCGAACGGCAGCGAGGAGAGCCAGGAAGCGGTGAAGGAGATGATCGCGCAGGATCAGTCGGTCACCACGGCGCCAAAGTCGACTTCGGTTCGCGCCCGACTTCCGGCCACCGGAGTGAGACCGGTGATTAAACCCGGGGCGAGAATCAACCTGAGACCTAAGCCAGGACAGCTATCGACGACCAGCACCACCGCCGCGTCACTCTCCGCGGACAAAGAGGAGGAAGCGGACGGGTCCGTCGACGAGCCAGCGGGCGAAGGAACCGAGGAGGAGACTCACGAGGTGAGCAACTCTCGTTACTTACTCGAGAGAGAGAGAGAGAAACGCTCAGTTTCGTGAAAAGATCGCACACGCAGACCGATCGGTAAATACAAACTCGGTCAAACTCGGTCTTCTCTCTGACTTTTTCGCTTTCACTGAATGCCCTTTCGCAAAATGTCACATACCGCGCTCGCGAACGTTGTGAAGTTGACGCTGCATCTTCGCTGCATCTTTGATCATTACTGCGCTGCTAATAAGTTTGCAGCTTCGCTTCGTTCTTTGCAAACTTTCTGCCCAGTGTCTTGAAAACATTTTCAACACTTCCGTTACGAGCGCTGGATAATCGCACTTTAAATATATACGTGATACACTTTGCCCGTCGAGACGAGCTTTTCCTATTTTTTTTTTTTTTTTTTTTTTTTT